TTCGCAGAACCGCTTCAAGCAACAAGCAAGCAACCTTCCTCCTGCGGCGACGATCGTTTTGCTCGATCGTTCGCAAGACGGCGTCCGAGCAAGCAAAGAAACGAGACAGAAACGGTCGACATCTCATTCGTCCAAGCGCGCTCATTCGCAAGCCGGCGTCCGAGCAAGCAAGGAAACGAGACAGCAACGGTCGACATCTTCATTTGCTCAGCATCCGCGTGTACCACCATCGGCTGATTAAACGACGCAAGAACTTGCGCTCAGCTGCATTCTTGAAGTCCGCGGCCCGAGCACGAAGCACGATGTCGCGAACAGGCGCGTTTGTAAGCAGTCTCGATCCGTGTGGGTAAGGTGGCACTCTGCCTCTGTCGCTCCAAGTCGCAAGGCTCACTAACGTGACAAGCATGGATGGCCTCCCCTTCAGGGCTGTAAGCAGATGGCGAACAACACCCACTGGACCACCCCACCCGGCACTTTAGCCCATGTGCCCGGGTGTCATATGCCACTGCCCTGGCACGTTGGCCCCAAGGCGGTCCAGGTACCATCGACTCAACACCTGACACCCGGCCAACGGTGTCCACGAACCGAGATGGGCAGTCGATCCGTGTGGGTAAGGTGGCACTCTGCCTCTGTCGCTCCAAGTCGCAAGGCTCACTAACTAACGTGACAAGCATGGATGGCCTCCCCTCCTGGTTGGGAGCTGAAAGCAAGCCACAACCATTGGACCACCCCACCCGGCACTTTAGCCATCGACTCAACACCTGACACCCGGCCAACGGTGTCCACGAACCGAGATGGGCAGTCGATCCGTGTGGGTAAGGTGGCACTCTGCCTCTGTCGCTCCAAGTCGCAAGGCTCACTAACTAACGTGACAAGCATGGATGGCCTCCACTCCTGGTTGGGAGCTGAAAGCAAGCCACAACCATTGGACCACCCCACCCGGCACTTTAGCCCATGTGCCCGGGTGTCATATGCCACTGCCCTGGCACGTTGGCCCCAAGGCGGTCCAGGTACCATCGACTCAACGCCTGACACCCGGCCAACGGTGCCCACGAACCGAGAAGGGCAGTCGATCCGCGTGGGTAAGGGCAAGGTCTCAAGGCAAGTCAACATGTCACTACGGCCTCCCTTCTTTGTTCAATCACAACCAAAATTGTAAGCAGTCTGGTATAGCTGCTTCCCTGCCTCTCGCTGAGACACGCAGCCATCCTCGCCGAAAGACCTTTGCGCAACTGCACCTTGTCCAAGTGCGCTGCGTGCACACACATGAAATTCGAAGAGGTCCGATCGAAGACATCGAGGTAAAACTCCGGCATTCGCAACCGCCAAGTGCGCCGGAGCGTCGCGGCGACCGCAGAAGCCCAGCTCCGGGACACGGCGGTCATCGCCTGTCGTTGTCGCACTCCCACCTGCTCCAGCCTGATCATGACCACGTCCCCTCTGACCCTGGTAGTCACACTCGGAATGAACAGCCGCCACTGTTCCGCGCGGTGGAGAACCGTTTGCTGGCAGACGCCATCTCGACGACAATGAAAGTAGCCCTCGACATCGTTATGGCAGGTCACGACGTCGTGTCCGTTCCTCCAATGAACCTGCACACTCACGTGAACCCACATTGCATCGCACAGCAGCCTTTCCAGCAACGGCGCCGGCAAGCAAGAAGCCTTCGCCATCGCTGGTTCTGCCGCCATATCAGCAGCTTTTCTTGCACCAGACGAGACGTCGTCACGTGTTTCCATGGCTAACGCCGGTGAACTTCTAGGGAGGCACCGAGCTTTCGCAAGACAGCGTCGACTCGGAAATGAATGAACTTCTAGGGAGGTACCGAGCTTTCGCAAGACAGCGTCGACTCGGCAATCAAAAGGGTATGAACAGCAATGGAGCCAAAGCTTCGTCGCAGAGCGTGACGGGTTTTCGATCTTGATGTAACTAAATACGCAGAGACCTCTTTTCCCGGGCACCTGGCGCCATGGCAATGACGCGACTCGGCAAAGGCCTGGGCAGCCAGACCAATGCCCAAACCACCGAAGAATCCAAATCCGAACATGAAGGCCCGACTCACGAATCGAGGGTCGGGTTATTGTGTGGAAGCTTGACAGGCTTACCACCTACAAGAGAGCATGCTGTTGGTTTATTTCATGGGGTGCAACCTACCCCGATACCGAGGGTCCGGGTGGGACTTATGTTCTGCTCGTCGACTATATGGTCTATGAACATACATACAGACCGAGCAGGCGAACACCGATCATCATGGTTCCGACACTTCGAGGGCAAGGGCAACTCGCATTCATCGGAGGGCTTTCGCATTAGCTCAAAGTACGAAAGGTATAGACCAGAGCATGATGCGGGGTTTATTCACTGGGGTGCAACTTACCGCGGCACCGAGGGTTTGGCTAGGACCTACATTCTGCTCGTCGGACAACGATCATCATGGCTTCGTTGCTTGGAGGGCGAGGACAACTTACATTCATGGGAAGGCTTTGGAATCAGGTCAAAGTACGGAGCCAGCAGTAGCTGCAAATCCTGGCTTGGAACCTCCAGAGGCGTCATGGTCACGAGAGTCGAGAAGGGACTCAGATGGAAAAACGAGCACGCAGGCAAACGGCAGCCTAGGGAAACCACGTGTGAATTGTTTTCACATGCGATTCCACTGCGGGTTAAGGTTCTTAGGGACCTAAACCCAACTGCGATGAGGGTGCGGCAGCATCTGTGCACCTCGGCCAGCGCTAGGGCGAACACTGGCCGCACGAGGACGAGCGCCCAAAACGCGTTTGCGAAACACCCCTATAATTAAGACGCAGCACTAGTAGGGAGCAGTGATTCCAGCAGCAATGTAATGAAGCAACAAGAGGAAGAACGAGGCTTGAGCTTCAGGTCGACGCGCTCATGGTCTTTCTCCGTGAGTAGGAGGAGAGGCGTGGAAGGATTGGCCCGTGGGTACGTGGGCAACGACTAGACTGGTTGGAGCGACACATGGCACTCCGGTCGATGCGTCTTGCGCCTCGGCGGAGGTCGCTGCGTCTTCCCAGTCAAGATCGGCATCGTGGTAGAAGAAGTCGCGAAGATGCCACTTCAGATTCAACGTCCTTTCGTCATGGCCAGATCTCCGCGATATTCTCAACCATGATCGTCATTTGACGTCCACATCTTCCATTTCTTGTCGGCCATAATGTTGCGCATGCCCCGCTTAATGGCCTTCTCTCTGTCTGAGTTGTCGGATCACAAGACCAGCCAAACCTTTGCGGCACTCCGTCTCTGAGCAAGCCGACTCCGCGCTCCATCGCTCTGTCTGGCAGGGTAATTATGAGTCTGCACACCCGTCCGAATTAAAGGCCTCATTTAGGTAAGTTATAGTCCGATCAGTCTTACCAGCTACTACAAGCTGCTTCGATTCTTGCAAAGCCTTGCTTGCTGCGTCTGCAGGGATTCTCTGCACGGGCCCAATAGATTCGCTTATAGACATAGAAGACCGCCAAAATGATCGAATCCAGAACAGAAGTATCCCAAACACATCCCCAGAAGTCCCTGCTCATTAGGGTCTGGCCGTGTCCTTGCAGGATGGCTGCTACAAGCAGGCGAAAGGCGATGTTGATGAGGCGCACACGTCCGAGCGAATAACATACCTTGTCACGTCCACTCGGCTGCACAAGAGAGAGAGAGAGAGAGAGAGAGAGAGAGAGAGAGAGAGAGAGAGAGAGAGAGAGAGAGAGAGAGAGAAAACTAACTCGCGTCATTTTTCTTCCCGGTGCTTTCCATGTCGCACGAGGTGCGGAAATGTCACGGCACCCATGCAACCGAACTTTCGCAAGACAGCGTCGATTCGGCTGCACGCGGTGAGCAACTTCCCGTACTTCCCCGGGGCTTTGTGTGTAGCACGAGGCGCGTAATTAAATGTCACGGCACCCATGCACCCGAACTTTCGCAAGACAGCGTCGATTCGGCTGCACGCGGTGAGCGTTGAACTTCTAGGGAGGCACCGAGCTTTCGCAAGACAGCGTCGACTCGGTAATGAATGAAGTTCTAGGGAGGCACCGAGCTTTCGCAAGACAGCGTCGACTCGGCAATCAAAAGGGTATGAACAGCAATGCAGCCAAAGCTTCGTCGCAGAGCGGCACGTGTTTTCGCTATTGATGTAACCAAGTACACAGAGACCCCTTTTCCCGGGCACCTGGCGCCATGGCAATGACGCGACTCGGCAAAGGCCTGGGCAGCCAGACCAATGCCCAAACCACCGAAGAATCCAAATCCGAACATGAAGGCCCGACTCACGAATCGAGGGTCGTGTTAGTGTGTGGAAGCTTGACAGGCTTACCATCTACAAAAGAGCATGATGTTGGGTGTATTTGATGGGGTGCAACCTACCCGGGACCTATGTTCTGCTCGTCGACTATATGGTCTATGAACATACATACAGACCGAGCAGGCGAACACCGATCATCATTGTTCCGACACTTCGAGGGCAAGGGCAACTCGCATTCATCGGAGGGCTTTCGCATTAGCTCAAAGTACGGAAGGTATAGACCAGAGCATGATGCGGGGTTTATTCACTGGAGTGCAACTTACCGCGACACCGAGGGTTTGGCTAGGACCTACATTCTGCTCGGACAGCGATCATCATGGCTTCGATACTTGGAGGGCGAGGACAACTTACATTCATGGGAGGGCTTTGGAATCAGGTCAAAGTACGGAGCCAGCAGTAGCTGCAAATCCTGGCTTGGAACCTCCAGAGGCGTCATGGTCACGAGAGTCGAGAAAGGACTCGGATGGAAGAACGAGCACGCAGGCAAACGGCAGCCTAGGGAAACCACGTGTGATTTGTGTTTACATGCGATTCCACTGCGGGTTAAGGTTCTTAGGGACCTAAACCCAACTGCGATGAGGGTGCGGCAGCATCTGTGCACCTGGGCCGCACGAGGACCAGCGCCAAAAACGTGTTTGCGAACCCCCTCTATAATTAAGACGCAGCACTAGTAGGGAGCAGTGATTCCAGCAGCAATGCAATGAAGCAACAAAGGGAGGAAGAGGAAGAACAGGCCTTGAGCTTCAGGTCGAAAGGATTGGCCCGTGGGGCGCCGGTCGTTGCGTCTTGCGCCTCGATTGGCCCGCGTGGTGCGCCGGTCGTTGCGTCTCGTGCGCCTCGGCGGATGTCGCGTCGTACCAGTCAAGATCGGCATCGTTGTAGAAGAAGCGCCGTGGAAGAAATGCTGAAGACGGCCCTTCAAGGTCAAGTCAACGTCCCATGGCCAGATCTCCACATCTTCGCTGACATCAGGTCGCGCATGCTCCGCCGCATGGCCTTTGCAAGCTGACTCGAAGTCGTGGATAGGATAGGTCTTGTCTTGGGTCTTCGAAGTAGTCACGACTGCACTGGGTCGGGGGCCTTTTAACCAAGTCTAGTCACTCATAGTTGCGCGGGTTTTACTTCCCAATCGCTTTGTCTGGTAGGGTAAATGAGTCTGAACACCCGTCCGAATTAAAGGCCTCACTTAGGTAACTTATAGTCCGGTCAGTCTTACCAGCCACTATAAGCTGCGTTGATTCTTGCAAAGCCTTGCTTGCTGCGTCTGCAGGGATTCTCTGCACGGGCCAAATAGATTCGCTTATAGACATAGAAGACCGCCAAAATGATCGAATCCAGAACAGAAGTATCCCAAACACATCCCCAGAAGTCCCTGCTCCTTAGGGTCTGGCCGTGTCCTTGCAGGATGGCTGCTACAAGCAGGCGAAAGTCGATGTTGATGAGGCGCACACGTCCGAGCGAATAACATACCTTGTCACGTCCACTCGGCTGCACAAGAGAGAGAGAGAGAGAGAGAGAGAGAGAGAGAGAGAGAGAGAGAGAGGCTGCACAAGAGAGAGAGAGAGAGAGAGAGAGAGAGAGAGAGAGAGAGAGAGAGAGAGAGAGAGAGAGAGAGAGAAAGAGAGAGAGAAAACTAAATCGCGTCATTTTTCTTCCCGGTGCTTTCCATGTCGCACGAGGTGCGGAAATGTCACGGCACCCATGCAACCGAACTTTCGCAAGACAGCGTCGATTCGGCTGCACGCGGTGAGCAACTTCCCGTACTTCCCCGGGGCTTTGTGTGTAGCACGAGGCGCGTAATTAAATGTCACGGCTCCCATGCAACCGAACTTTCGCAAGACAGCGTCGATTCGGCTGCACGCGGTGAGCAACTTCCCGTGCTTCCCCGGGGCTTTGTGTGTAGCACGACGCGCGTAAATGTCACGGCACCCATGCAACCTAACTTTCGCAAGACAGCGTCGATTCGGCTGCACGCGGCGAGCAACGTCGCCTACTTCTAAGAGCAAGCTTCAGAGCCCCAGACGGCGTAAGAAGTCCTCCGTCTGCTGATCGGGGTCTTGCGCCCATCCGCGAGCGTTCTTCCCGGAAGAGGAGCAGTGCACATCGAAGTTAGGGAGGCTGGCGTAGTACTGCATGCACTGCACACAGCCAGCGCTGGCCGCATATAGAAATTTGTACTCCAGTTGACGATCTTCATCCAGATGTGCATGCCTTCGCCAGTTCCGGTAATGAGGCTGGTTTTCACAAGGCGTGTAATCCACCGATGTATCACTACTCTCACTAGACATGCTGCTTGACGACGAGGTATCCCGCGGAACTTCGCCTGTCTCTGCGGCCGTAGGGCTTGGTGACCTCGGAGCGGAGGAAGGGCCAGCACCTCCGGCCGCAGCGCTGGGTGTCCGCGAAGGGAAACTTGCCCATGCAACACCGCAGCCCGGTGGCTGTGAAGCAGAACTGGGACCACAGTCTTCGCTCGCAACGTCAGGCGGCGACGAGGGTGGCGGAGGGACATTTCTTGCCCAATGAACTCGAAATGTCTGAGAGGGAATGGCAGCGCCAGCAGCAGCACAGCCTCCGCCCGCGGTGTTGGGTTGCCGCGGAAGGGCTTTAGGCCAAACATGCCGCGGAGAGGCACTTGGCCATGCTGAAAACGGTTTTTGCCGAATCTCACACCATCGCTCAAACCTTTCCATCTCAGTGGCGAGCCATGTCTGGAACCCTGCATCTCCGGCTTTGTTTGGACGACCGTCTCTCGTAGAATGCGATACTTGTTCCTCACGGTGTCCACGTCCATCCATTTAGCACTGTCAGGATCGAGCCGCAATTTGTTCAAAAAAACACCGAAATCCGCCATCGAGCAACTGAGCTTTCGCAAGACAGCGTCGACTCAGCGATTCCCCGGGAAACTATGAACGTCGACGGAGCCAAAAGCTTCGTTGAACAACCACCATGTCGCATGAGGCAAGTTTCAAACTGAGAACAGGGCTCGTGCACCAAAGCATACATGGACGTCTTTGTAGAGCGCGAGCAATCACCTGCTGCAAGGCGGCTGCATAGAGTCTATAGAGGCAAATGTCAGGATATGCAACAAGTCCAAGCTGAAACTCGACCGAGGAGCAATCCTGAATCCGTTAAAGTGCCCTACAAAGCAAACCAGACAAGAGGTTTCCACGTCAGCAGCCCCAGTCGACCGTCCCGGCCTGTGAACGGATCACTTTGCACATTCCGGGCACCTTCGCAAGTGCCGGGAGCAGTTCGACCACAAGCGATGATTTACTGGGTCTCGCGAACCTGGTGCATCCATTCTGTTTGTTAGCTGCATAGCACTCACAAGGAGGTCTCCAGGCCAAGGTTTAAGGTGTTTAAGATGTACGCTTCATATGACCGCTCTGGTTGCGGTCACCAACAGCGAGTGATCCACGATCAGGGGCCTACGCGGAGCCTCGCAAAGCCAGCGCATGATGGTTCTCTGCTAGCTGGATACGGCTTCGTACAAGATCTCCAGGCAGCAGCTGAAGAACCCAACAATGACTGCGG